AACCAATGATACGATATAACCAATGATACGATATAACCAATGATACGATATAACCAATGATACGATATAACCAATGAATAGTCAGTTTTGCTAGTCATCTCAATCCATAATGTTTGTGGATTTATTGATCCCACAATTGAAATATTTTTCTTGACTGATTCAGCGAACTGCTAGATTCTCTTAACTAGTGATTATTAGGTTAGTATTATAGATCAAAGATGAGAGAATGTATAAGAAATTTACTTCGAAATAAAATATTAAAATGAAATCTAGTAGGGTTCAATTTCTATAATTGTCACCAAAAAAGACCCAAATTATCTTTCACCGGATTTCATTTTAATCAGTCACACTAATTATGTTGTGTTTCAAACCACAATCTAACTTGTCTAATATATACTAATATGAAATTGTGATTGGGTTGTCGGGATCGACAATCCGGGCAATTGATATTTAGGGCAAAATAAAATCGGATTCGCGTCAAATGACGCAATAAATTCACAAGCTGATATCACCTCGTTGTACAGTGATTTTTGGGACTATAGTCCTAATTAGTCACCGAATGATTAATGACTCCTCGAAAATCTCGATTCTGCATTTAAAAACAAATTTGTTAAGTTTTATGAGCCAACATAATAATAAGAAATGGCCGAGTCGCAAGTAGCAACAGCAGATATTGCATACGCTTCCAGCAATGTAATATACACAATTGAACCTACACCACCATTATTCGGAAAATACCACACAAGCTTCACCACCGAAGTAGCACGACGTGAAAAAGAAAAAGCTAAAAATATTTTTGGCGAAATTCCTAAAGTACACATACTGTTGGCAAACAGTGACCCCTTTTCAAAAGTACATGCAGAAAACGCAAGTGGTGGCTTAGTTTCGGTGCTTACCACCTCAAAAACATTGATACCCGCCATACCACATCTTTATAAAATTGCCAATGAAAAATCGGCGTTGGTAATTCACGTAGCGGTTGATTTGAATCCGACGAATAATCTTGCTGATTATTCGGATGTGCTGGCAGTTCGTCAAACTGGATTTGCATTATTGAAATCCAACGGTGGACAGGAAACGATGGATGTTGCATTGATTGCTCATGCTCTGGCTATAAAGACTGGAGTACCTGTATTGCATTTTTTTGATAAGCAATTGCCACGATTATTGGTGTCTTCAGCGTCGTCAATTTCTTCTATTTCATCTATGAGATCTACAACGCCTGATCCTGATAGACATGAAAGGCTCACATATTTTGGTCACGATATTATTAAATTGATTATTCATGAAGCGGATATTGTGAAATATCGTGAATCTCGGAAGGCTATTTCAGACCAAAAAGATAATCCGAAAGAAATTTATTTTCGATCCGTTGATGAATTGACTTTGAATCATCATAATGACAGTACTGACGATGAAAATGAAAATGTTGATTACTTTAAAATTGCAGATCATGTATTTAAACTTTTTGAAAGAAATTCAGCACGTTCTTATCATACTATTGAATTTTCCGGAGACCAAGACGCCGATTCACTCCTAATTACATTAGGAGCTGGGCCTGTAGTTTTTGAACAAGCAATTCTACAAGGGATTCAATCCCATTCTAATCTCAAAGTCGCTGTGATAAAGATACGGTTATATCGTCCGTGGTCAGATCAATATTTGTTAAATGTCATTCCAAAGTCAGTCAGAAAAGTTGCTGCATTAGAACAAATCAGTAAGCCCACAATACAGTGGACACCATTGTATCTGGACGTGACATCAGCATTTCATAATAGTGAATTCTGGTTGACAGAAATTCCGAGTATTTTTAGTGGTTCTTTTGGTAGTCTTGATGAAAGATCTCTTGATGGTGCTATTCAAGCAGTCTTTGATAATCTGTCATTGAGTGATCCGCTAAGAGACTTTAATTTTGATAAATATCAATCTTCAAAAGATTTGAATAATATTTCTTATGACGTGGATCCAAAGCCAATTCTTGAACCTCCTGCATTAGAAACCTCGTATTTCAATATGCTTAAAGAATTATTTGCAGATAGATTATATGTGGCAAATGCCATTTCAAAATCTACTGTAGGATATCTCGAATCAATAAAATCAACTCCGGAATTCGGATTTGGAGTATTGTTGACAAAAATCCAAAACCGAGCACAATTTTCTGACCTGGTGTCAAAAGTGGTTAAAGATGTATCAATTATACTACCCGAGGACCTTCATTCCGCTCTTACACAGTGGATTTTGCATAAAGATGACTCTAATCTCTCAAGTATACATAGCCAAAAAGCAATAGAATTACTATCCGATCCAAAGTTAAGGGAAAATCATCCATCCCTTAAAGAAATTTATGACCATAAAGATCAATTTGTCAAGCCTGCACAATGGCTGATTGGATCAGACGCATGGTCTTATGACATTGGTTATTCTGGTGTTCATCATGTAATATCTTCTGGAAAAGATATTAATCTTTTAATTATTGATTCACAACCGTACGATCCATACGAGGCTGATGACCCTGAAAAACGAAAGAAAGACATTGGTCTTTACGCTATGAATTATGGTGACGTTTATGTTGCATCAATAGCAGTCTATTCTTCTTATACACAAGCCTTACATGCATTATTGGAAGCAGAAAAGTTTAAAGGACCTTCAATCGTGTTGGCTTATTTACCATATGAAAAAGTCAACGATACTACAATTACAGTATTAAAAAATACAAAACGGGCCGTTGATTCTGGATATTGGCCACTATATCGATGGAATCCTGCATTAGAAAAAGAAGGAAAAGAACCTTTCTCATTGGACTCCGAACGAATAAAACAAGAACTTCAAGCATTTCTTGATCGAGAGAATCATCTTACTCAACTTGTACGTGCTAATCCTGAACTTGCAACAACTCTTACATCATCTTTAGAGTCGGAAATTGCTTCTCGCCAAAAATCTCGTGCTAAATCTGCTTACGAAAAATTATTGGGTGGAATGACAGGTCCTCCGCTTTTAATACTTTTCGGATCTGATGGTGGCAATGCTGAAGGAGTTGCACGTAAATTACTAAAAAGTGCTCTAGAACGTGGTTATAATGGTGAATGTAAGGCGATGGATGATTATCCGTTCGAGGATCTTGCCACAGTACAAAACCTAGTAATTGTTTGTTGTACGGCGGGGCAAGGTGAATTTCCTCATAATGGACGCGAGTTTTGGAAATATATCTCGTCAGCAACTGATATTTCTTTATCAGAGACTTTATTCTCAGTATTTGGACTAGGAGATAGTCATTATTGGCCACGTAAAGAAGATGCAATTTATTATAATAAACCTGGAAATGATCTAAATACTCGCCTAAAATTACTCGGTGCAAAACAAATAACACCTTTAGGCTTAGGAGATGATCAAGATCCAGATGGCTATGAAAGTGAACTCCAGCTTTGGGAACCTATGCTTTGGAAAGCTTTAAAAATGGATCATCCAGCTGAAGAAAGATTAAAAATCCTTGAAGAGGAATGGGAAAAGATAAAGGTACCAAGAGAGATTAAGACTGATGATGACGCGAAGATCGAATCAAATTACTTACGAGGAACAATTGTAAAAGGACTAGAAGATACATCAACTGGAGCATTATCTGAAGCTGATACAAAATTGACGAAATTTCATGGAATTTATCAGCAAGACGATCGTGATCTTAGGCAAGAACGGATGGCTCAAGGATTAGAGAAGGCTTTTATGTTTATGGTTAGAGTGCGTGTTCCCGGTGGAGTTTCTACTTCTCAGCAATGGCTTGCAATAGATGAAATCGCAGATAAATGGACAAATGGAACAATAAAATTGACAACTCGCCAAGCATTTCAATTACATGGAGTACTTAAACGTAATTTGAAGTCAACAATACGAGGAATCAATAAAAGTTTATTGGATACACTTGCGGCATGTGGTGATGTAAATCGTAATGTAATGTGTAATCCAAATCCATTCTTATCAGAAATTCATGAAGAAGTATATGAATTTTCAAAGAAACTAAGCGCACATTTATCGCCTAAAACTTCTGCATATCATGAGATATGGCTTGATGACAAACTGGTAGCAGGACAAGCTGTTCAAGACGTTGAACCATTATATGGACCAACTTATCTACCTCGAAAATTCAAAATTGCAATCGCTATTCCCCCAAATAATGACGTAGATGTCTTTGCACATGATGTAGGATTTATTGCAATTACCGATGAGAATGATAAATTAGTAGGATATAATGTGTCAGTAGGTGGTGGAATGGGAATGACTCATAAAAACAATCTAACATATCCACGTCTTGGTGATATAATTGGTTTCTGTTTACCAGAACAAGCGATCGACGTTGCAGAAAAAATAATGCTGGTACAAAAAGATTTTGGAGATCGTACTAATCGTAAGCATGCTCGTCTCAAGTACACAATTGATGATCGCAGTGTGGAATGGTTCGTTGGTGAACTTGAATCACGTTTGGGATATAAATTGCAAAAATTGCGTGATTTCCAATTTGAAAATAATGCCGATAGATTTGGATGGACGAGAGGTGTAAATAATAGTTGGCATTTTTGTATGTATATTGAAAATGGACGAGTTAAAGATTCACCGGAGGCAAAAATTAAAACTGGACTTAAAGAAATTGCAAGTCTGAATAAATGTGATTTCCGATTAACCCCCAATCAACATTTAATTATCGGAAATGTTGCAGAACAAGATAAGTTGCAAATAGTAGAATTATTACAAAAATATAAATTGGATAATTTGCAATATACCGGCCTAAGATTAAATTCGATGGCATGTGTATCATTGCCTACGTGTGGACTTGGATTGGCTGAATCAGAACGATATCTTCCATCGCTTGTCTCAAAATTAGAGACAATAATCGAAGAGGTGGGTTTACGTAACGATGCAATAACAATACGCATGACCGGATGTCCGAATGGATGTGCTCGACCGTATGTGGCTGAAATAGCATTTGTTGGGACAGAGCCTGAAACATATAATGTTTACTTAGGAGGTGGATTCCGCGGACAACGACTAAATAAACTGTACAAAGAAAGCTTAAAAGAAGAAGAGATTCTTAAAGTGTTAAAACCAATTTTACATCGATATTCTAAGGAACGATTAACTGACGAGAAGTTTGGAGATTTTGTGATTCGTATGGGATATGTTAAACCTACTACCTCTGGTAAAAATTTTCATGAGTTAGATTAATAGATTTTCTCTAAGACAAATTTAAATTCGCAGATTTATTTCTAAAATTATCGATAACATAAATTTGTTCAAGTATATTTAATCCAGGATCAAAAAATAAATTTTACATTTCTGCAATAATGTTTAAGATATACAGGTCATATTGCAACAAAGCGAACATATTCCAAGTGCAAAATTAAAGAAATCAATTCAGACGCTTAAATATCATTTTCGAAAATAAATAAATTTCGACTTATTAAAATTACATAGAATATTACTTGAAAAAAGTAAGAACTTTTTAGTTCCAGAATTGGAATTAGAAAAAGTTTTCCAGAATTAGTAAGCTTGCAAGAGAATTTTATATAATAAAACAATTAAAAAAGCATTAAGCAATGCAGTAATATTGGTAACAACAGTTATAATAATAAATAATTCAAGAAATATCAGTTTTAGCAATAATATCTTCATTTATTTCTTGTTATAGCAGCTTTGTCTTCAATTATTGCTGGATAAAGATATAAAATAATTTGGTTATATTGTTACTTAAAAAATTAAAAATAAAATAAAAAATAAATTATTTTCTTTTATTATGATTATTTTCTTTTTGATTAATTTAGCAATATAATTATTTATTATTGTAGCTGATATTGAAATTAATCAATGAAATTAGAGAATAAAAATTAAAATTTTTTGTGACACAAAAAAATAATGTATAAAAAATTATTCTTTTTTTAAGAACTAGTTATATTAAAGCAAATTATTTTAAATATTGTTATAATATTGTTACCGTTTCCATTGATTTATTAACTTTCAAATATAAATCACGTATTCTTTACATGTTTCAAATAAGTGGGAGAGTTATTAAAGACTTTTATATATTGTCATGATATGACATTTAACGAACAATCTTATTGGATAAGATTTATATTAATTATTATTGGATTATATATATT